AAATATAAAGACACATTAAAAAAATACACATTTCACTTTTAAGTAAACATTAGCGTATTATGTTGTTGAAGCTAGTGTGAAACTTTAGTTAAGAGAACAAAATGCTGGATGCAGCTTTCATAACTCAAGTTCTTCTCCTGCTCTGTGAAAGCGCGCGAGTTTTTAAACTGCCTCCATTCGGCGAACGCTTCCGGCTGAGTAACGGCTGTAACGGCTGAACGCTCCTCTCCTCTTCCCCAGTCATCGCCTTCAGTCCCGTCACAACACCTTTCCAGGCCCGTGATCCGCCCGTGATGATAGAAAGGTCCAATATCGCAACCGAGCTCGCTCATAACGCTGGACGGCCCGCTGGAGAGAGATCCGCGGAAATCCCCGCTGCCGCCTGTCCTTGTGTTTCTGCTTTATTGCCGTTATTCGGTAGTAATTCAGACACCCGAGAAATTCTATTAGAGGTGAGAGGAAAACAATAATGTATTGTCTCAAGGATCCGGGGGCTGCTGCTTATTAGCTTTGTTTTGATGTGAGAAACTACAGGCTGACATTATCACACGCTTCAGGACATTTCAGCAGCTTAATGCGGTGTTATGCCGCTATTAATGGAGCATAAATGCCGCCGCTGCCTCTGTTCCTACACTATAATGCTAATACGCCAAAATAAATCATAGGCTATAAAGTTCATTTAGAGCCATATTTTCCCGCTCTGTCTCCCTATGAGAAGCAGACGTTACACGTCTTTTCAAACCACTGCAATTTGTCCATTAAATAACTAATGAGATTACGGCAGGTTTTGTCTATCAAAGGCGGCTAATTGCTTAATGCCGGTGAGTCAGTACACGCGTCTTTGCTTCAGTTAAGTATTTTAAGTGGCGCGTCGTCAAAGACTCTCTCGGCTTCACGAGCCAAGAGATTTCAAATTAATGTAATTATACACCACCTCAAAAAAAGAAATGATTGAATGTGAATTTCAGGCTTATTAATCATTATTTGCAAGCATGTCATTTGGAAATATATGAAAAGAGAAAAGTTTTACCTTAATGGTCTTTATATGGGAATCTGTCACTTTAATATTCAACGGTTCTAGCACTATATACGATATTACAAATTATTCAATTATATATTTAAATTGTTATAAATTATTAAATAAATGACTACATTATATATTATATTGTATTATATATAATATTGTATAATTATATATTATAAAAATATGTTTTTTTAT